GTATATTTATATATAAATAAATATATTTACTTTTTTTTTTATTTTTTTTTTTATATATATTTTTTTTTTTTTTTTGTGTTTTTTATATATATTTATATATATATATATATATATATATATATATATATATATATATATATATATATATATATATATATATATATATATCCTGCTGAAGAATCCAGCTTAAACCAGCTTAGGCTGGTTGGCTGGTTTTGGCTGGTTGACCAGCCTGGTTTTAGAGGGGTTTTGGCCATTTCCAGGCTGGTTTCGAGCCATTTCCAGCCTGGTCTTAGCTGGTCAGGCTGGAAAATTACCAGCCAAATCCAGCTAAAACCAGCTTGACCAGCCTGGTTTAAGCTGGATATAGCTGGTTTTAGCTGGACTCCCAGCTTGGGTAGGTTGTTCAAGCTGGTTTTAGCTGGTCATCCAAAAGTATCTGTCAAAAGTATTAAAACAAATTTCAATCACAAAATGTACCTTTGTTTTCAATATTGAGCATATATTTACGCAGTATACTATTACAAGGATAACATCTATATAATATTTTATATGTAATTTCTTTTACGTTGTTAGTTAGCAATTATTTGTGTTGAAGATTCCAAGTAATTTTGTCTTATGAATGAAACAGTGATGTGTGAACGCTTGCTGCCCTCTAGTGGAAATCTTTGTTAAGACGTGATGCGAATGAGAGACCTAAAAGCGCGTTCCCGTCATTGAATAAAAATGGGGGAAATGGACTTACCTCATAGATATATTCACTGATAGTGTATATAGTGTATACACTGATAGTGTATATATCTATGGACTTACCTCGCAAAATGTAAACTCGAAATTGCGAGCTTTTAATTTAGAATTGGGAGATATAAAGTCAGAATTCTGAGAAATACAGTTGCAATTGCTAGTTAATGCTGTCAGAATTCTGACTTTGTATTTTACAATTCTGAGAAACAGAGACAAAACTGATAAAAAATAAAAAATAAATGAATTAAATAATTTTTGTTAAAAATGAATAAAAATATTTTAATACTACTTCCACTAATTTTACAAAAAACGACCAATGTTTTAATACACATAGCGTGAAAACAGTAGGCTAATAATAATAATAATAATAATAATAAAAAGAAGAATAAAGTTTCCGAGAGATGGGTTGCTGTTGAAAGGGCATCTGCTGTGTGAAAATGTGCTAGATAAGTTGGCGGTTCATTCCGCTGTGGCGACCCCTGATTAATAAAAGACTAAGCCAACAAGAAAATGAATAATAATAATAAAGCTTTTACATTACTAAGCATTTTTGGTACTAACTGTAATCAATGCACAATAAAACGTTTTCTACATTTTACAGTAGCCTACACTTTATAGTAAACTCTATAGTAAAATCATAAGTACATTTTAAGGTGCCTTAAACACTTGTGCATTAGCCTTTTGGTCAAGTGCCGTTATATAACCTACATTTTAGATCATTTCTTTTCATTTAAATTATTTGCTGTGACTGTTTTTCTTAAAAATAATGAGAAAACTTTGATTTATTCTTTCACAATACACTTTTTTTTTTTAAAATATGCACATGAAAGACAGCATTTTTATTGTGTACACTGTAAAAAGTGGAAACTTAAACAAATTACTTTGACTTGTTACAATTAAATGAATTAAGTTTAGGTGTAACATGTTTTAGTAATTTATTTATGGCAAGTATAAGTGTTGTTCATTATCAATAAGGATCAATACTTGTATTTGCCACAAAACAAAAAGTATTATTATTATATTAACATGGTAAGGGAGTTATTTGTACTGTAATCAAAGTATTTTTATTACTATTATTATTATATTAACAATTTTAAATTTAATGATTTGTACTGTACTGTTCCATTCTTGTTTCTCGAATAAATTACTAAAATTTGTAAAGGAATAACCAATTACTGAAAACTGTCATAAATTAAGTTTGTCAAACTTAATTCATTTAATTGTAACAAGTCGAACTAATTTGTTTAAGTTTTCTCTTGTTACAGTGTAATTAGGCCCTCTAAAAACTAAATATGCATATTGATAATAATAAATTGCAAATAAAAAATAATGATTTAAGTATAAATAATAATAAAAATAACAATAAATAACATTAAAACAATAACGTTTTTATAGCAAGTGCAATATCGATTTTTTTTTTTTGTTGTTTAAACTTTACAAGGCCATTTACACTAAACTCGATTCTTCTGTAACTTTAATTTTTTTTTCTGCTAATACTCCTATCCTATGCTCCTACCCTAGATTTTTACAGCCATAGAGACACTTTGAACTTGAACTTTGATTATAGTGGCATTGACACACCTGTTCACGCCGTCGTTTGACAGTAAATGTTACTTCCGGTGTGGGGATTTGATCCATTGAAAAATCTGAGGGAGCATATTTACATACGAAATTGGGATTTACAGTTTGTGTTTCCTGCAGTGAAATGAGTGGTCACCTTTTCACTCGTATAAATATATTTATCTGAAATGGTAAGATGTAGAAATATTTAATGTTATGTGTAAATTATAGCTGAGTCTCCGATTCAAACTCGAGACCCAACGGAAAAGTTCAGCGACTTTAACGGACGTTTCACTCATGTACATTATGTTTGGGGTAGTTTTCGTCCAGTTACTAGTGAATGGTGAGTAGAATCGTTTTTATTTTACAAGTTTTATCATATTGAAAGCCTACACAACATTTCGAAAAACTGATTAACTGTATGTGACTCTTAACATAAAAATATGTAAGTGTTCATTCATGAATCATGAAATGTAATGATTTATACATCACCTGTAGGCCTAAGCTGAATAATTAAGGTTTTCATTGATCTGACGTTTGGTAGGATATGATTATATTTGGCTGAGATATGTGAAAATCAAGAATAGGGTTCAAACTATCAAGAATACTGGGAAAATCGCCTTTAAGTGGCACATTACTATTCAAAAAATAGTTTTTGATATAAATACAGTGTAAAATGTACATAATATCTTCATGGACATGATCTTTACCTAATATTTACAGATTTTTGGCATGAAAGAAAAATATATAATATTTAGCTATGGCTATGGAAAAATATATACACCTGCATCATATTGTATTGTTGATTAGTTTCACAAACTATAATTCCAGGACAATTTGTAATAGTTATGTCGATGTAAAGTAACTGTCTATATATAAAAATCATTTGTGCGAATCGCAACTGCTTAATTCCCATGCATCAACTGTATGTGACCCTGAACATAAACTAGTCATATGATAAGTGTTCATTCATAAAATGTCATGATTTATACATCACCTGTAGGCCTAAGCTGATCAATACGCTTTCCATTGATGTGTGGTTTGGTAGGATGTGATATGAGATATGTGAAAATCAGGAATCTGAGGGTTTAAACTATCAAAAATACTGGGAAAATTGCCTTTAAAGTGGCACATTACTAATAAAAAATAGGATTTGATATATTTACAGTGTGAAAATGTACAAAATATCTTCATGAACATGGTCTTTACATAATATCTAATGATTTTTGGCATGAAGAAAGTATATAATTTTGACTATGGATATGGACAACGTGCATCACATGGTATCGTTGACTAGTTTCAGATAGATAGATTAGATAGATTAATATAATTCCTGGACAAGTTGTAATATTTATGTCGATGTAAAGTCTATATATAAAACAATAATTTGTGTGAATCAAAACTGCTTAATTTCCACATCACATCAACTGTATGTGACCCTGAACATAAACTAGTCATATGATAAGTGTTCATTCATGAAATGTAATGATTTACACATCACCTGTAGGCCTAAGCTGAATAATACGCTTTCCATTGATGTTTGGTTTGGTCAGATATGATTAAACTTGGCTGAGATATGTGAAAATCAAGAATCTAGGGTTCAAACTATGAAAAATACTGGGAAAATCGCCTTTAAGTGGCACATTACTATTCAAAAAACAAGTTTTGATATAAATACAGTGTAAAATTTACATAATATCTTCATGGACATGATCTTTACCTAATATTTACAGATTTTTGGCATGAAAGAAAAATATATAATTTTGACTATGGCTATGGAAAAAATATAAAATCGTGCATCATATTGTATTGTTGACTAGTTTCACAAACTATAATTCCAGGACAATTTGTAATATTTATGTCGATGTAAAGTAACTGTCTATATATAAAAATCATTTGTGCGAATCGCAACTGCTTAATTCCCATGCATCAACTGTATGTGACCCTGAACATAAACTAGTCATATGATAAGTGTTCATTCATAAAATGTCATGATTTATACATCACCTGTAGGCCTAAGCTGATCAATACGCTTTCCATTGATGTGTGGTTTGGTAGGATATGATATGAGATATGTGAAAATCAGGAATCTGAGGGTTCAAACTATCAAAAATACTGGGAAAATTGCCTTTAAAGTGGCACATTACTAATAAAAAATAGGATTTGATATATTTACAGCGTGAAAATGTACAAAATATCTTCATGAACATGGTCTTTACATAATATCTAATGATTTTTGGCATGAAGAAAGTATATAATTTTGACTATGGATATGGACAACGTGCATCACATGGTATTGTTGACTAGTTTCAGATAGATAGATTAGATAGATTAATATAATTCCTGGACAAGTTGTAATATTTATGTCGATGTAAAGTCTATATATAAAACAATAATTTGTGTGAATCAAAACTGCTTAATTTCCACATCACATCAACTGTATGTGACCCTGAACATAAACTAGTCATATGATAAGTGTTCATTCATGAAATGTAATGATTTACACATCACCTGTAGGCCTAAGCTGAATAATACGCTTTCCATTGATGTGTGGTTTGGTAGGATATGATTAAACTTGGCTGAGATATGTGAAAATCAAGAATCTAGGGTTCAAACTATGAAAAATACTGGAAAAATCACCTTTAAGTGGCACATTACTATTCAAGAAACAAGTTTTGATATAAATACAGTGTAAAATTTACATAATATCTTCATGGACATAATCTTTACCTAATATTTACAGATTTTTGGCATGAAAGAAAAATATATAATTTTGACTATGGCTATGGAAAAAATATAAAATCGTACATCATATTGTATTGTTGATTAATTTCACAAACTATAATTCCAGGACAATTTGTAATATTTATGTCGATGTAAAGTAACTGTCTATATATAAAAATTAATTTGTGCGAATCGCAACTGCTTAATTCTCATGCATCAACTGTATGTGACCCTGAAAATAAACTAGTCATACGATAAGCGTTCATTCATAAAATGTAATGATTTATACATCACCTGTAGGCTTAAGCTAAATAATACGCTTTCCATTGATGTGAGGTTTGGTAGGATATGATTATATTTGGCTGAGATATGTGAAAATCATAAATCTGAGGTTTCAAACTATCAAAATACTGAGAAATTCGCCTTTAAAGTGGTACATTACTATTAAAAATAGGTTTTGATATATTTACAGTGTAAAATGTATGGAATATCCTTATGAACATGATCTTTACATACTTTAATGATTTTTGACATGAAGGAAAAATCTAGAATTTTGTCCAACACAATGTATTTTTGGCTTTTCCCAAAAAAATATACCTGTGCTTCGTATGGTATGGTACGGGTTTTACAGTGTAGCCTTGATCAGGGGTGCCCAAACTTTTTTGTATGAAGGGCCAAATCCAAATATCATTGGGAGCCATGGGCTGAAGGTATGCCAAAATATTTTACATTAAAGCTGGCATAATTTCCTAATTTATTTCATATTATTTAAAAACACATAGAAAACATCACTTTGAATTGTATTAACTAATGCATTACAGCTTTTTAAATGATAACTTATTGCAGAAATAACAATCGCATTTAAAATACATTGGAGTTCAATTCTGAATACACTAAGCAGAATCTGCCTTTGCCTTGATTTGTCCATCAGAGTCTCTGCATTGTCCTCTATCTCTCAGCTGACGAAATTACAGCATTTAAAGTGAAACATTTAATTTCGGTTAGCTAAACAATTAAACAAATAAATAAAAGGTTACATGAAATTTGAGCATCCCTATCATTCTCCTTCTCTTCTCAGATGGTACGGTGGGCCAAATCATAGGTTACCACGGGCCAATTTTGCCCATCTCTACTCTAGATGAATATCTTGTCACTACTATTCCAAACAAATATTTAATTTGATATAGAGTAACTGCCTGTGGATTAAAATAAATCTTTTAATGTGTGAAATAAAATTGCTTAACCTCTTTGGTTATGTGAAATAAACTTAATTTACCTGAGAACTCAATTCTTATTTCCATTTTCTGGTCAACATTTAGTTGGGATATATATATATATATATATATATATATATATATATATATATATATATATATATATATATATATATATATATATACATATATAT